TCTACAGTTCTACCAATTAATTTCTCTTTTGTCAATGTGCTTAATACACAATTGGAGTCAGGGAATATCACATACCTGGGAATAAATGTCTCTCCCAAGTTGACACATTTAACCAAACTAAACTACATCCCACTTTTAAAGAAAGTGGAAGATGATCTTGCAAGATGGAAATCCTTACCGATATCACTCATGGGGGGAGTTGCTACAATTAAAATGATGGTCTTACCCAATAAATGACTTATTTTCAATTATCCCAAACAAGCCACCAGCTGACTGGTTTAGATCTCTGGACTCCTAAATCACTAAATTCATCTGCAGAATAAACCTCCACGAATTAGCTTAAAAACACTTCAGAAGACCAAAGATAGAGGAGGACTGGATCTACCCAACTTTTATCATTATTAATTCCATTTTTGGTTCTTTCTAAAAGACAGGAAAGGTTTATCTTTACCTTGCTGATGTACGTTTCGTTTGCCGACTGCAAAACATCCTCAGAGCTGACGCTGATGGTGGCGTCACTTCCTACTCCGTTTATCCGCGGGAAGCAGAGGACGTTGTCGCCCTATGCTGCCCGCTCTCCCCTCTCCGATGATGCAGTCTCATGCACGATCCAATGAGTAAACTCCATCGTCTCTGTTCCTGGTCCCACATCCAGATGTTTAAAGAAAAATACAGACAACAAGGAACAAAGGACATCCGCCATTTGGAACGTTTACATCAAAAACGCGCACATCTTAGGAACCACCTTTGCTTCAATTTAAGATGCCGGGACAAAAACATCACACCAACAAGCCTACAGCTGAAAAAACCGATCCAGACCAAGACAGCACAGAACATAATGGAAAGAGCACAGAGAGCACTACTCAAAGAAAGGATAAGAAATGTCATAACCAAAAAAGAAGCAAGTGGATAACGAACAGGAAAGAAGACATCTGGACTTAAAAAGGAATTACAAACTTGATGAAAAAACGGAGGAACAAATTAAAGGACACATGATGGAACAACAGGAAAAATAATTCATGAAAGTAAAAAAAAGACGCATAAAGAAGTTAAACAAACTCAACAAGAAAAAGAGAAAAGAAATACAGGATAACTCCACACAAAGCTCAAGCACGAACTAACAGAAGCAGAAGAAAACATACTAAAAAAAGATTTAAACTTTGCAGTAACACCAAAGAAAATACCATATGAAGAATGTATTGTAGCAACAGAACTAGCATGTCAATAGATCACAAATGAAGGAAAGAGCAGAACTCAGAAGTCTTCACTAGTACCATGCACACGCACACCCATCTGGCATAATCCTGAAATTTTGCAAAAGAATAAAATGATGAACCTTCCGGACTGGAAAAATAATGGGATCCTATACCTGGAACACATATATGAAGGATTGGACTTCATCCCATTTAACAGAATAGTCTCCCAAATTGGAATGGATAAGAATAGCTTTTTAGAATACCACCAAATTAAATCTGTAGTCAAACAAAAATTTTAGCTCAATAAAATAGAATTACAAACACCACCAAGGGTATTAGACTTCTATAATCTCTAACCCCCCAAACTACTGTCTAAAGTATATAAGACACTGTCCAAAATGGACGATAGAATAGCAATCCCTATTGGAAAATGGGAGGTGGATCTATGAGTCAGTGTTGACCAGAACTTCTGGTCCCAAACTTGTTTAAAAACTTTTAACCCTCTGGAGGCAGGCGTTGCAGGTGTGCAACATTAAAACCTACCTACCTGGTTACTCCACATACATGTTTCATGAGCATTTTTTAACTCAGAAGTACCCCTGAAGGACTTAGTTGTTTGTCCTTTTATCAAAACTTATTTTGAGCTCGAGAGGATTAAAATGATCAGACATCCGAATTTACAATTAAGTCAGTACAAAATTCTACACAGAGTACACTATACAGGTCATCGGATGTTCAGGATGGGGTTTGTGTCTTCTGACACCTGTACACACTGCACAAACAACATTCCTGACAATTACATTCATGCACTGTGGTCCTGTCCACCTGTCCAGGAATTTTGGGGTAGAGTATGTGAAGACCTGTCAAAGTCTCTGACATGTCATATCCCAACCACCCCCTCTCTTTGTTTACTGGGACACCTGGACAATGTCCTGATTGAAATATCTTTGGTTCACGTGGTTCTGACTGGCATATGCATCGCTAAGAAAACTATCCTCTTGAATTGGAAAAATAGAGATACTATTTGCATTAACCAGTATAGAAATCTTTTGTTAGATCATATTACACTTGATTTAGCCTCTGCTTCCACTTCAAATCAATCTCTCTGGGCTCCTTTGATCAGTTCCATCACATAGCGATAATGGGGGACCATTGACATTGTCCTGTGGGATGATGTGGTTGGGGGGGTCTGAGTTTGGAGTATCCGGACGTTCCCTGGAGGTGGGTTCACTGAGGGTGTCTGGGGCTGGGGGGCTTCTGCCCCCCTCTGGAGGTGCTTGGGTTGTTTCGGGGGTGGACTACTGGCGGTTGTGAGTGGGGCCCCTGGAGGGGTCTTGGTGGCAGCCATGGGTTGCTGCCTTGCAGCTGCATCACCCCTAAGTAGGTCTGGGTGAGGGCCTGAGGGCTCGGGGTGTGGGGGCGGCGGGCCCCATGTGGGGATCTGGGCGAGGACTTGGGGATGGGGCTCTGAGTCATAAGCTGCCGGGAAGAAGGCGGGAACAAGCAGCAGTGTATGGCCTGGGCCCAGTGACTTCAGGCGGACCTTGGCTCCTCTGAAATAATAACAACTCTGTCCCATCACGGGGGAGGGGGATGTCGAGGAGGGGGAGGACCCAACCTTGCCGGGATGTCTCATATATTCTGGAAGTTGTGCAAATGCAGGGATGGGAGTAGATATTCTGCTGAGGTGGGGCTGGGTTGGTGCGCTCAGACTCCATGAGGCTCTGCGATGCTGCTGCTTTGGGCCCTGGCGAGATGGGCTGGGGTCTCCATGCTCTGGGGTGCATTTTGGGAACAGAGGTGTCTATTATTATGGCCAGATTATTCTGTAATGACTAGAACTTGAGGACCCGTGAGGGTAAGGCACTTTAAAAGTCTTTATTAGCAAAAAGCTAAGACGTGGCGTTACCCGTAGAGGACAAGGCTGGAGACAAAGTCAGTGAACAGGCGAGGTTCGTGGAGGCAAGCAGAGTTCTTGACTAGAGTCAGGCGTAGAAATGAGGTCAGGAGGCTATGATCAGGCAGGATGAAAAAGGCTGGAAGATTTACGAGCAGAAGCGTTCTATAATCTGGCCGAGTGCTGGTGGTTGACTGAGGAATATATAGCTGGTGAGACAGGTGTGTGGCATGAGCTTGATGAGGGAACCAGGTGTGATGCATGGTGGCTGATGAGGTGGTAGCATGGAGGTCAGGACCTGACAGGATCATGTGCACAGCAAACTGTAAAGGGGTTTGCAGTATGTAAAAAATTGGGAATATACGGACGTTAGTACGACAGGAATCCCAACATTTTCCTCAGATCCCCTGCTGTTTTGGGGATGCGATCTTTGGGCGCTTGTACTGATGCTGTCTCTGCAGGATTCATGCAGTAGCCATCCCTGGATACAATCTCCCCTAGTAATTTCACCTTGTCTTTGAAGATCTCACATTTTTTTGGTGTTAGCTTCACTCCATGAGTCGGGTAGCAATGCAGCACCTCTCTCATGTCACGCAGGTGATCTTCAAAGGACTGGCTGTGAACTCGATTATCATCCAGGTAAGGTTGCATTGGTTCGTCTCTCAGTCCCACAAAACACTCCATACTACGCTGGAACTCTGCTGGTGCAGAGGACAGGCCAAAGGGAATCCTTATCCACTCATATAAACTTATGTTTCTAGTTGCTAAAAGCTGATGAGAAATATTTAATTTAATTGTTAATCTTTATTTCCCCCCTGAGGCATTGCCACCTTATTGTGGTCGGGGGTTACAAAAGAGCTGCAGCAGCAGAAGTTCAGCCTTCAGGTGGGACACCACAGTAGGATAGGAGTTCCAGAGGGTGGCGGCAGCAATGGAGAAAGTTGTGTCTCTCCAGGTTCAGGGCTTGGTCATGGTGGGGGAGGAGGGAGAGGGATGGGGCATGTGGTAGAGCAGGTCAGGGAGGTAGGAGGGGCCAGGTTAGGGAGGACTCTGAGTGAGAGGAAGCCAATGGAGGTGTTGAATGGACAAGAGAGATGTGGTCATTGGAGCAGGTGTAGGTTAGGAGATTTTGGATGTGCTGAAGCTTGGTGAGGGGTTTGGATGAGACACCACATAAGATACTGTTGTATTAGTGGATTTATGATGTGATGAATGCATGATGAAGGTTTCAGGGGCAGAAAAATGAAGGGAAGGACAACCACTGACAAAAATACAATCCAATCACCTCCTCTGCCAATGAGCATATATTGATCTTACATTTGTTTCTGCTGCTCACCATCTAAAAAAAACTTTTTATCTCCATAGTTTTTGTCAAGACATCAACAGGTGAATTAAACGACAAAAAATGCATTTTAAAATAAAAATGTAAATAACATTTTAAATAACAAATGGATTTTTCTGAAATATTTGTGTTTGTAAAAATTTTAGTTGATGTTTTGGATACGTACTGTTTTTTAAATAAAAATGAATAAAGGAGCAATGCAATACATCGCCACAGGCTCAACTCTCCCAGAGGAGCCACAAGGACCAATTTAGGGTGCCACCCCAAAAATTTCTTTGGCCCCGTCTGGCCACCCCATCATAATTTTCTGGAGGACCCCTGCTGCCCTGGGGCCTACGAACTGGTTTAGGTGGTCCCGTACACACACGAGAGAGAGAGAGAGAGAGAGAGAGAGAGAGAGAGAGAGAGAGAGAGAGAGAGAGAGAGAGAGAGAGAGAGAGAGAGAGAGAGAGAGAGAGAGAGAGAGAGAGAGAGAGAGAGAGAGAGAGAGAGAGAGAGAGAGAGAGAGAGAGAGAGAGAGAGAGAGAGAGAGAGAGAGAGAGAGAGACGTGGGAGGAGCCGCCACTAAAACAGACCCAGACGGTATCAGGAGCACCAAGGCCAGTGGACGCAGGCATGTGGGGCAACATGCGTGTCGATCCGGAAAAAAATCGGGACAGAGGTGGAGGACAAGCCAGGAATCGTCAGGATAAGGACCTGGTAAGTTATGTCCCAGCTCGGTTCTCCTAACTGTTGGAGCACAGGTAGACCAGAGTCACCTGAGAGGTGTTTCCTGTTCACCTGTTCAACATTCAGACCAGGTGGAAGCTGCTGAGCTATCAGTAGAACATTTAAGTAACAAAATGCTCTGGTTCAGACTTGTGTGTGTGTGTGTGTGTGTGTGTGTGTGTGTGTGTGTGTGTGTGTGTGTGTGTGTGTGTGTGTGTGTGTGTGTGTGTGTGTGTGTGTGTGTGTGTGTGTGTGTGTGTGTGTGTGTGTGTGTGTGTGTGTGTGTGTGTGCTCGTGCACCTATCCGATACCGCTCTCTTGTTTCCTGACCTGATCAAGCGGACCAGAAGCTCAGTGTGGTGTAGAATCCCTTTGGCATGATTTATGATATTAAAATCAGTGGATGGTATAAAATCAATACTCATTATTATTAGTACTATCTACGGCTTTGGATTTCATTCCAGATGACTAAAGAAAAAGTTCCTTGTGACATTTGAAAGTGAGAACTGCATAACAGCAGCTGATATTTTTTATCTTGATGGTCCTGGCTCAAAAGAAAAAAACCAACATTCCTGTTTGTAAAGTGGAATGAGTTATTTAACTTTATGACTGGTGCAGGTAAGTCTACATGATTTTATCCAGGGTAGTAGTCCCTGCCAACAGAATTGCGTGGTTTCTTTGTCTGTTCAGGTTTATGTTGGCTTATTTTCTCGATGAGCAGAGCCAGCTGAGATCCTGTCATCATGCTAAAGGCCTTTTCCAGCCCATGTCATCGGGCTCAATGGTCTGCTCCAGCACACCTTGTTTAGATTGAGTCATCACAGAACTTAACAGACTATTGTGGTGATTTCTAAGGAGCAGGTGAGTGGGAGTGGACGACACTCTAAAACAGGTTTGGAAGCTGGTTTGGAGCTTCAGGTGTGGAGCCAGGACGCAGTTTGGGACCAAATAATAATTTTCCAGTGAACTCTTGATTACTTTTAAGATTTGTGATTTTATTAGATGGCAGGTTGAGGATCTATTTGAGTAGAGGGAGAACGAGGATACCCACTGATCCAAATCAGATTATTATGTAGATCCAGTAAAAACAAACTCAAATTCCAATAAGTCCAGTACAGACCAAGGGCCGCATTTCTACATCTCTGTGCAGAATCCTTACATCTACTTATCCTCAGTGGTTTACGGTTAACCGAGTATTAACTGTTTAATGGCTTCAACAGGAAAACGTCTATCCCTAGTTTGTGTGTGTGTAAAGACTTACCTGTCCATAAGAAATGTTGCCATATCTGACTATTTAATTCTGCAAACACACGCTCTGTAATTGACAGTTGTGGGTAAGCGGAGGTCTAACGCTATCGGCTAATGCAGACCAGAACTCATGGGGCTCTACCATACGGGGGATGGGCTTCACAAATAAATATTGATGTATTGTTTACATTACAAGCTAAGACTACCACTTTTACAGATTCCCAGAAAAATCAAACATAACTCCAGGAAGGGGGAAAGTCCAGACTGCTGTTTAATTCACTGATACTATATTTGAAGACATATGTATGAATGTAGTGTCATATATTAAAATAATATTCTTTTTCTTTTTTAGTTAAAGTCCCACCTAGTTGTCACACACAATGGTGTGTGTGACATTTGTTCTCAGCATTTTACCCATCCACTGGGGAGATGGTGAGCTGCAGACACGGCTGCGCTCGGTAACCATTTGGTGGTTTAAAGCACAGATCCGCATTTCTGCCAACTCTGAATGCATCAGCTGGAGCTGGGATGGAGATGTGCTTCTGACGAAGACAGTGAAATGTCCGTTTTACAGACCTGGTTGAGATGTTGTCCAGTTAAACATCCTCAGTAAAATATTCTGGGTGACTGTTAAGTATCTGCGTCAATTTTTCCTTAATGCAAATGGGTTATGGTCCAGACTTTTGGACATCTCCTGTGTAGAGAATTAATCGTTTACATCTTACTTATGAACCACAAAATGTGAGATTCCCATTATGTTACGCCCCCTCTCTGCAGGTCTAGGATGATGAGGGGACTAACACAAGAAAATAGGTGTAAAGGTGTGTGTGAGGATAAAGGACGAGGAGGTTAGAGTAAAAACAAAAGGATTTATTAAAATAAAGTGTCCGTGGGTAAACGACATAAATAAGGCCTACCAGTAGTGGAGCAAAATAAGGTGGAAACTGAGAACATAAGCAGACTAACTGCTTATGATAAAGGCTCTCCGCCTAACTTAACTTAACCACCAAGCTGAAAATTTCCCCGGCTCTGAAATCCAAATGGGGATAAAAACCACCAACCTAAGAAAACTGACAGTTTGTCAGATAACTCCTACTAAGGAGGAAAATTAAGCCAAAACTAGAACTCGGGAGAATCTCATAAAGTCTGGATCTCTAGCAACACCCTTTAACCCAAATGGTAACGGTATAACCTTGAACCCGAGTGGTAACGGTAGTTAAATGTGTCCGTGAGCTAGGGAGAATCACCGGCTAATCCAGGATCTCCCCGATGTCTGCTGCGTTCCTCCACTACCACTATCAATCTGATGGATCTTTGACTATTTTAACCAGAAGATCAGAACTTTTTATTTCAGGGATTAAGCGACACTTCGTATTAACTCCAAGGAAAGAGAGAGAGTCAGGTTTATAATAGATAACAGATTTATGTCTACACAATTTAAACAAGACTACCTTTAGCACTCTGTGTACTGATGGACTAAGGTGGAGTGAGACGTGATGAATGATGATGGTGTGTGTGTGGAATGTTATTCAGAACCAGAGGATCCGGAGAAGCATTTAGTTCTGAGTGGGAGTGAAAGTTTCGCTCTAAGCTTTAGTAGGAGATTTATAAAACACATGAAATGCCATCGGTCGGTCTACGTGCCCCAGGGGAAGCCTCCGTTAGATCCAGAATGTCGAGGTTCTCTTGGACCCTCCTTGGAACCAAAGCCGGTAGAAAAGCAGCGGTGCCGACCAAAATAGTCTTGGAATGCTTCCAGGTCAGGACAGGTTATCACTGGCGTCTCCGAGACCCTGAAGGGGTCGTGAGGTTCAGCTTTTATTCTGAACGAACCGTTGCAGTCAGGTGTAACTTGCAACAGATTTTATCCAGCTTGTCTGAGGTTCTTTATAGCTGAAGAGGAAGTCCGGATGGCCTGTCCGAGACTTCTCTAGAACGCTTTGAACAAAAGAAAAGGTGGTGTGGGATAGTTTTTTTAATTGTCATATTTTGGTTTACTGGCGAATCAGAATGTGACATGCAAAAGAGGGTTTATACAAGCACCACAGAAAACCACGCCGAGTGGCCACCGCATGTTCCATAAATCAGGATTTTGGCAGTTCGTATGAACATTAAAAATTGTATTTGTAGGATGGAATATGGGACCGTTTCTACCAACTTAAGATTAATGAGGGCCCTGGACTTAAACGTAAACAGTGTGGGGCTACCTACAACCATCAGTAAATCTGCAGTCTGGGAGAGCTCTCTCTATAATGACAGCAGGACTGGAGATAAAACCCAGCTGCACCTTTTGGATCATTAATGATGGCTGAGCTTTGGTGTGATAATAACACTATTTTCTATATTATCTGCTGTTACATAAAAAGAAAAGGAACCAGGTTCTTACAACTGTCTGTGACCGCTACTTCCTGTAATGAGGTGCAGGGAGTGGCTGTGAACAGGCCTGGGGGTTCTGCTTCAGTAGGAACCATCCTCCCCCATCAAACAGGTGGAACCGGTCCTCAGCCCTCTACCACTGTAACCCGACTCATTATCTCTCAAACTAACCTGTGTCTTTGTGTTGCAGATGCTTATCACCAAAACTCTTTTAGATGTTCAAAACACATAGGTTTCATAGCAATGTTCAGAATTTGTTCCAGCAGGCCCTTACCATCACACAGTTTGAATATCAGGCTTAATAAAGCAAATCATGGAAATCGCATAAATATTAGAACAAATTCAACTGAGCAGAAAACTAGAAAAATTAAATGTGGGTTATTGAACATTAGGTCTATTTTTTCTAAGACTCTGTTAGTTAATGACTTGATTTGTGATCATCAGATTTCTTTGCTCTCTCTCACAGAATCCTGGCTGCAGCAAGAGGACTATGTTAGTTTAAATGAGTCGACTCCTTCTAATTATTTAAATCATCATATTGCTCGAAGTACAGAGCGAGGAGGAGGAGTAGCAATCATTTTTCATTCAGACCTATTAATCAGTTCCTTACCAATTAATAGCTACAGTTCTTTTGAACATCTTATTTTTAGTTTTCCTAATCCAGATTGCAAAACTGTTAAACCACTCATGTTTGTAGTTTTGTATCATCCACCAGGCTCTTACTCTGAGTTTTTGAATCAGATCTCAGATTTTTTTATCTCATTTGGTGCTAAATACTGATAATGTAATTGCAGTAGGGGATTTTAACATTCATGTGGACATTGAAAATGATAGCCTCAGTGTAGCCTTTAGTAATATCTTAGACTCTATTGGTTTTACCCAAAGAATACAAAGCTCCACCCACTCCTGCCATCATACATTAGACCTCGTGCTGACTTATGGCATAGAGTGTGAGGAAATAACCATATTTCCACATAATCCAGTCCTCTCTGACCACTTTTTGATAACCTTTGAGTTTTTTATAACTGAGTTCTGGAGACATGAAAGTAAATTTCACAATAGTCGGTCTCTATCTGACAATGCTGTTGCATCTTTTAAATCAACAGTTCCATCTTTACTGTCCTCAGCATCTCAGAGGAACGTATCAGAGAGCAATATTTTTATTTCTAGCCCTTCGCAAATTGATGCCTTAGTTCATAATGTTACTTCCTCTTTATGTGTGGCATTAGAATATGTTGCCCTTTAAAAAAAGAAGGTAATTAGGGACAGGAAGTTGGCTCCCTGGTTTAATTCTCATTTACGAACTTTAAAACAAAACTCTAGAAAATTGAAGAGAACATGGCACTCTACACACCAGGAGGAGTCCT